AATTTTCTAGAATCCTGGGAAAATCTTTCAAGATTTTTTTTATGAAAATTCAAAAGATAGTCAAATTCAAATTTCTTCCAAAAGTATGAAATAGCAGTAATCATTTTGTTATGCGCTTTACTCGTTTTCTGTGTTGGTAAGAAGTTCTTATAATTGAAGGTATGTACAAAAAAATGTTTCTATAACTTATATAGGCAATGAAAACATATCTGCTAGAAAATACCTTAAAGGTGGAGCAGGCATGACTTATATTTGAAAAATGTCATATTTAAAGATTGTTCGTGTACAAAAACATTACAAACATAATGCTATATAAATATTCATTTAGAAATTCAAAGTCAAATTACAAGACAAACAAAATATACGTATAAGAATATTTTTCTTCCTTCTGTCTTTGGTATAAAATGTGTTTACTTTAAAGCAATCTATTAGTTATATAACATTAATGCATTCGAAAACATATATTATATATAAACGTATACTATGTAAAAAAATTCTTATAGGCCTTTTTTGCCCCAGAAATGCTTTTATCTTAATCTCTCAAAAGCCTGACATTTGGAGTTCTGTTAGAGTTTCCAAAATATTCCACATTGGTCAGTAACCTAAACCATCTTGTGCTTTTGTTTGATATTGGCAATGAGTACAGTCAATTTTTTAACTCATATATGTGTCTGTTATAAAGATAAATAATTGGTTTCTGAGACAGAATGTACCTTACGTTCAAGAAACTTTAGAACATATAACACATTTTCTTTTTTACGAATTTGTTTGATGAAATTGTATGATCACAGTTGTTTCTATCCGAAAATACACATCCGAAATTACTTTCAAATCATGATCAGTTTTGCTTGTTGTTCAATCACATGCAGTAAATTTACAGGACTTAATACTAAAACGTCAATGATTGGAGGGAATAAATGAATATATAATATCATTCAATACTTATATTTAGTATTAATATATTAAATAAACAACAAACCATCTAACTCAAAATGTTTCGTACAACATGGCGGGTGTCCTGCTATCACGTGATTTGATGCTATGTTTTGATACGATAACTTTGGATTTAGAACAGTATGTTGCATATATCCCACAGGTCACGTGACATTTATCGATGATATGATTGGTCCAGTAAGTTAAAACAGTCTATTTATCAAGACATAGTAAATTTGTGGAGATAGAACAGGATGGTTTCGTTGTAATTTATTTATGAAGCTCTGAAGCACTAATATAACATGCCAAGGAGATAGAACAGTCCATTACGGACAAAATTGTGTATTTAACTTGTTTTTGGAAAATTTGGAGATAGAACATTACAGTTTTCAAGCGACGACATGTCAATTAGTTAGTGTTGATATTTAATCAAACACGCGGCTTCACTTTATAAAAAAATTAACTGTTGTTTTTGCCAGAAAAAAAAACAATAACAAGAACAAAAACACTCTATTTATAGGTAACTGGCTAGAGGAAGCAGGCTCTACTCTTTAAAAAGAAGCATGCAAGAGGTCTTTTGCAGCTTTGGAAGATTTGTTTAATTCGAAAATATTATGAGATATTTTTGCATACAAGGCACATTGAATATATACAAATTACAATTATTTAACAAAATAGAATTTAATATATATATTTGATATTTAGAGGGCTTATATTATAATGAATGCTTGTTTCATATTTTTAATGTTTCGAAAGATCAGGGATAGTTTTTCTACCAAGGGAACAATTTATGCTATGTTATCAAACTTATTTTAAAATAAATGATATACATGTATATTCAAAGTTGTATCAAAATAAAAGTTTCTTATAAAATTCAATATCAAATTTTCGATTAATATTTAATAAGTATATGTTAACATTTCCAAAACGTGCATAAAGTATGTAAATCAAACTTCATAGTCTATATGTATATATCATTTGACAGAATAAACTGTACATAAAGGTGTATGCCTCCAATCACAATATTTCATGTAAATCAAATTTTTGAAAAAAAATGTGCCATTTGCATCAAAATATCTCTGTTGCGTAATTTAGTCATATCGGTTCAAAAGTTTAAGGAGCAGCAAAATTTCGGTAAACGGTTAGCTCTGTCATATAATAGTGCATATTGATATTGTAGCTAAAATGTTCACTATTACCTTTTTTTGATACATGCAACATTAAAACGATTTTTATAATACAATGTAATAAATAGTCGTTATTGTCCACACATATGTGAAAAAAGATCGGGTAGTTGAATTTTCCTGTTAAAGACTGGTTTCCCTTCGGCATAATTAAGACTGCCTATCAGAACTGTTGTTTAAAAACTTGATTTCCCAACATGCAAGTTATTTCAGAACACATTTATATTTAAATTACACCCTATTTTTTTTAGCGGAGAAATACAATTTGTCCCTGAAAATAATCTTTAAAAACCTCATAAATATATCTAGAGCATATTTTAGAAAAATATTTCTTTAGTACCTAAATATAATTTCCTTAATATAAATATAAATATTTTTTCACCTCTAATTATTTAGAACACAATTACTTTTTTAAGCACATCTTTTATTTGGTTGGACGAATGTTAGTCAGCAACTTTATTTGACATAGAATAATGACTTTAGTCACGCCATAAGGCGGTCAAGATTTAATCTTCTTCCAAATCGGTATTTTTATTCGGCCCTCATTCAAGTTGATAATTACATACCTCCTCTTTTGTTCGTGGCAGGTCAATCTTTTTGGGATGAAAAAACCATGAAACTCATTTAATATGTTTACATTTCTATGGTGGCTGATTTGTGCCATTTGTGTTTTCGCCCTACGACCCCGCCAAGCAAAAATTAAAAAAATTAGCAAGTAAAGAAGCGGTGGCGCGGAGCGAAAACACGCTAATAAGCGAGGTTGCGGGGCGAAGTTTAAGAAATAAAACTTCGATCCGCGGGGGCGCGGAGCGAGATTTATTATAATTAAATGACGGGGTCCCGGGACGAAAACACGCTTCTAAGCGCCGGCGCGGAGCGAAGTTTAATAAATAAAACTACTATTTGTTTCACATACATTAAAGTCTTTGACAATATCAGAATTTTGCAAAAGATAGACCTCATAAAGGTTTTTTCTTTTGTTTAAACAGGCGATCCGAAACAGATCAGATCAGAACAGACCTGTTACGAACAAAAGAAGAGGGTTTAACTTGTAAGAATAGTGTTATTAAAGGCACATTTACCCTCAGAAGCAAATAAATTTTAACCTCTTAAGAAAGTGTCAAATATGAGTTTTATAATGTGTAAGTCATTGTTTAACGGCATATTAGATACTTTTTACCTGAAGAAAGAAACGATAAAGGAGAAAAAAAATTGTTAAAAAGGTAGCAAAAATAAAATAAAGTAACTTACAAAATACTAATACACTATAACTATACTTGGTGTCAAGATGAAAAACACCGTTAACGTTATTGGCCAATGAGTAACTGTTTGAAAACAGTAGATATACACCAAAAGTAAAACCCTTATGAAAGCATTTCTGAGGCATAATGGGCCTTTATTACACGAAAAAAAAAATCATAAATCTTCTACTCACGTAGACACGTAAACTTCCAACTCCAAACTTCTTATGTCCATCATAAGAACAGCATAAGCATCATTTTATAATAATTCCTGCGAAAAAAAAGCACGCATACTTTGCCTCTTGTAAATCAAAAGGCGCAAAGCGGGACACAAGTTTTTTTTTATTAGAGGTCGGTCAAATGAACGTTTTGACCTATTCCGCATCAACGCACATGGTAACTCGAGTGAAAATCGCCATTCAATAGTACAATGACTGCAATTAGAATATCGACACACAAGTCGGTAATACTTCACTTAAATGAACAAAATAAATATCATCCCGAAATAAAATTTGAAGTAAAATCCAAATGAATGAATGAATGAATGAATGAATGAATGAATGAATGAATGAATGAATAAATAAATAAATAAATAAATAAATAAATAAATAAATAAATAAATAAATAAAAATCGATAAATGAATGAATAAATAAATCAATAAATCAATAAATAAAAATCAATAAATTTCAAAAATAGTTCAATAATTTAAAAACAGTTTTTCTTATTAATGAATTGATTAAAGAAAATAGTTCAATAACAAAAATAAGTAGAAATGATACATAATACAACAATAATAATTTTTGAAATAAACTCATCAATCAATCAATCAATCAATCAATCAATCAATCAATCAATCAATCAATCTGTCACTTTAATAATAAGGGATTCTCAGAATAATTTGATACAAATGCATATGATTATTTAAAAAAATAGTCTAAGGAAACATTGTTTAGTACTATATTTTAAAAGAAATAATTACCAAATTAAGTGGTTGTGGTGTTTGTAGTTTTAATATTTTTGATCACGGCAGCAAGCCAGCTAATTTACTAGAGTACATTTCAGACACTGCATCTTTCTCGCGCAGTTTACAAGTTATAGTTGCTTCCACTTTCGCAAGGAACTGATGATTACCATTTGAGCCGTGCCATGACAAAACCAACATAATGCTTTGCGACCAGCATGGGTCCAGACCAGCCTGCGCATCCGCGCAGACTGATCAGGATCAATGCTGTTCGCTTACCAACCCTATTACAAGTAGAGAAACTGATAGCGAACAGCATGGATCCTGATCAGACTGCACGGATGTGCAGGCTAGTCTGGATCCATGCTGGTCTCAAACGCATTATGTTGGTTTAATCGTGACGCGGCTCATTTGTTTTCATTATAATATCATTTTTGACTTAATTTGTTTTAATCAAATTAGATCATAAAGTTGACCATGATATTACATTTATAACTCTTCATTGGCTTTTAGGATAAATAACAGTGCGTTATAGATTCAGATAATAAAACGGACATAATTGACGGTGTCGTGTTAAACATCAATAACATCTGCCACAGCTTTGTACACGTATATATATGAAGGGATTAATTGACGGAGAAAAAACACAAAATCAATTACATGGCACATCTGTGCACGCTTATATCAAGGGATATTTATTGAATTGATATTACCAAAATTATAAGTAAGCATTCTCGTTATTGATGCATATTTCTATTACGTTATTTGCAAAGATTCGTCTTTTTATTTTATCAATGATTTAATTTCGATACAAATTCCATATTAATCATGTGATGTGATCTTCGACTAATTTCTTTTTTTAAGGATATATTGTATAGGATTTTTTATTCATACAATATAATGTAAAGACAGGGATTCATCTTAGAAGAAGCAAAAATTATAAGAGACGTTACTAACGTTTTATTCAATAATCTTAATGAGATTTTAAATAAATTTGTTAAATTTTACAGTGTAAGTTTCACAAATAGGCTTTGAAAAATCGGAATTTCAGAACTAAAAGGGGAATATCTATTTTGGGAAAACCACCAACAAAAATCAAATATGGGAAGTGCATTTCTTACGTTGTTCGGCTGTATATTTTTCGGATGTGTTTATTGCGAAACTGGCGCTTTCACTAATTATGTTAATATGGAGAAGCTGTACACGCTGGAGGACGATTTAATCACTATCACTGATGTAATACTACGACAAGAAAAAGTTCTACATGGTGACGAAGATACCCATGGAATATATAATATAACCAGGTAAGTTAAATGGTAAACAGTACTGTAAAAATGAGCAGTGTAACATTGTTAAATAGTGTAAAATACAGTTAAATATATATAACATTGTTAAATAGTGTAAAATACAGTTTTATATATATATATATATATATATATATATATATATATATATATAGTATATATATATATATTATATATATATATATAATATAATAACATTGTTAAATAGTGTAAAATACAGTTAAATATATATAATAGTGTTAAACAGTGTAAAAAGCAGTTAAATATATGTAACATTGTTAAATAGGGTAAAATACAGTTAAATATATATAACATTGTTAAACAGTGTAAAATACTGTTAAATATATATAACATTGTTAAATAGTGTAAAATACAGTTTTATATATATATATATAACATTGTTAAATAGTGTAAAATACAGTTAAATATAGATAATATTGTTAAACAGTGTAAACAACAGTTAAATATATATAACATTGTTAAATAGGGTAAAATACAGTTAAATATATATAACATTGTTAAACAGTGTAAAATACTGTTAAATATATATAACATTGTTGAATAGTGTAAAATACAGTTAAATATATATAACATTGTTAAATAGTGTAAAATACAGTTAAATATATAACATTGTTAAATAGGGTAAAATACAGTTAAATATATATATATATAACTGTATCTTACACTATTTAACAATGTTATATATATATTTACCTGTATTTTACACTATTTAACAATGTTAAATATATATTTAACTGTATTTTACACTATTTAACAATGTTATATATATATTTAACTGTATTTTACACTATTTAACAATGTTATATATATATTTAACTTTATTTTACACTATTTAACAATGTTATATATTTAACTGTATTTTACACTATTTAACAATGTTATATATATATTTAACTGTCTTTTACACTATTTAACAATGTTATATATATATTTATCTGTATTTTACACTATTTAACAATGTTATATATATATTTAACTGTATTTTACACTATTTAACAATGTTATATATTTAACTGTATTTTACACTGTTTAACAATGTTATACTGCTTCTTTTTTATCAATATATAAGCTTTAGCGGGACTTTAAAAAGTATAATATTCACGATGACTGTAGCAGACCGTGACGGGTACTATTTTTGTTTTTGGACAGTTAAACTTTATTGGTGTATTACCACAAGGACGTATATTGTAGCTCTACGAGATGACTGCCAAAAGTTTTCAATATAATTTACTTGAAATGTTTTTACAGTATGATTTCTTATCTCGTACTTTTACCATTGTTTGGAAACGAAAGTATATACAACTATCGTAATCATTCAATAAAATTACAAAAATGAACAGGTTTTATAAAAATGTATGAACCTTGATATTGATATCCATTTATGAGAGTTATTTGAGAGCAAACAAACACGTTGGACAGTGCTCTTTATAGAGGGTTTTTACACTACCAGTTATCAAAATACTTTAAATAAATGAGCAACAACAACTTTCTTGTATCATGAACACTCAAACATACATGTATATTTGCAATTAAGTTCAGAATATCTTATTTCACCTTGTTTTCAGCACCGTTGAGCACGTGAAGTCCATTCATCGTCAAGTGGTCAGTGGTCGAAATCTGTCATCATACATTGTGAATCCCGTCAATATATATCATATGACCAAACGTCTTGCCAAAGACTGGACAAAGGTCATCGCAACCATTGAGGAAAGCAAGTCATGCGTAAGAGGTGTGTGTGTGTGTTTATTAATATTACACTTTGAAAACAAACTTCATGACAAACACCACTCATGTAGAAAAATCTGGAAACAATGTGATCCCTCGGAAGCATTAATCACAACAAAATTTCAAGAGAATTGCAGTCTCGGTTTAATTGAGTCTGTACATGAGGGATTATGAATACGTGCAACATCCCTCACGTCCCCTAGCACCGGCTTGAGCGGTATTCAATTCTCAACACTCTCAAATAGTGCTGGCATCAATGATCCTTAAGGACCAGAAAAATAAAAAATGGACCAGAGACTTAATCAAGCCGAGTCTGCAATTTTCATGTAGTTTTGTTGTGATAAATGCTTCCGAGGGATCATTCCTACTCCAGATTTTAATTCATAAACGTATTATATATGCTTGTATTGCATGCATTGATATTGGCAAATATCAGTGAGTAAGTACTTTCAACCGTATGTTACATTAGATTTTAAAGCCTTTGCAGAGTAAGGATAATAAGTTTTGCATTTGCTTTAATCAGATACTAGTAACACACTTTAATCACATACTTGTAACAAACAATCCTATTATAGGCGTTAATTAGATATAAGGTCCATTAAACCTAAATGACGCTATTATCTTTTACTTGCCAAACGCTGCTTAGTTTTTGTGTCCTGTTAACTCTTGCTTTAAGAAGCTTTTTTCTTTATTTCAGTCTCATGTTTACATGTATACATAAAAATACATATAAAACGTAAAACACAAATATAAAATGCATGAAAAGCCATTCTAAAAGAATTACAAGAGACTATTTATTTTTGCCTCTAACTCCACAGACCATATCACATCAGTTTACTGTTTTATGCACTGAGGAATTGTCCCCCTAGCTACAAAAATTTCATACAATCATTATTATTCATTAAAAGGTTATCTTGTATTTTAAAAACATGACCTTAATATATTCAAACTATTGCATGTTTTTCCTACAGAAGTTTACATTGTGTTACAATGAATGAAACGATACTAAAATGTTTAAATGCAAATGGTAAGAAGAAAAATTGACCATCATATATGATTTCACTTTGGAAAGTATTGATACTTTTCATTCTCAAATATTATTTACTTCAGTATCAACGATTTGTATTCATCAACATAACTTACGTAAAGATCTGTTTTATCCATACAATACATTGGTTTAATCAGTGGATGCTTTATACAGAAGCAACACATATTTGTCCAACATGTAATAAATATGACCATTAAAACTTATATAAGTCAATTAATTACATTTATGAAACCATATCCCGTCAAATAAAATTTACAAGATATTCCTTGGCGTATTTGATGTAGCCTTTTTTCGCGTTTTGGCAATTAATACAGTGATAGTGTTTACATTTTGCTGCCGTTATGAAAATTTGTTACCCCTTCAGCGTTATTTTTTTCATCGCTTGTTTACAACGTTATACAATTCAGGATACCCCTATATTTAGGTCATTGTTGACACTTAATTTACCTTGAAATACCACGTGCTTTCCTAACGTACGTTTTATTGGTTGAATAACCAGGATTCTGTTAGACTATTGGACCTAAATAAATGCTTTATGCAGTCATCATAAAACATATGATATACATGTATGATATAACTTATTGATTGTTGCAAACTAGCAAAATTGGCATGCAATATCAAATAAGTGTCACGTGCTTTTTTTGAAATTGTTCAAACTATTTAAATATGTCTTTAGTATTAAGCATTTTAATGTATTAATGATCTTTGTTTATCACTTTAGCAATGCGAGCAAAAGTTGGAAATATCGCCGATAACATGCCGTCTGGCGGCCATTTAAAACATGTTATCAGGGGGGTTCTCCGATTACAAGTTATTTATAACATGTCTGTGAGTGACGTCATGTCCGGAAAGTTTGCGGATATCCCGGCTCTATCTTCCCTGTCATTGGATGATGCATTCGAGTTTGCGCGTGTCGCCTACGAGTCCGACCAATACTATCTGGCCGTTGTATGGCTGAAAGAAGTCGTCAATATGTACAAAGAAGACGAGGCAACGTTTGCACTGAGGAATGCGATGAGCCTACTGTCATCTGCTTACTTGAAGGTAACGATAGACGATTCTGTCGTCACATTTAAACTAAATCTTTCCGAAACCAGTAAAATACAATAAAAAATGAACACATTCTTTACAATACTTAATACAATTTTATAATACTGTTTGTTTGTCACGTCAATTTTTATTGGACAATGTGACGTGCATACACTAGTAATACATTTTGTGTAATATTATATATATTATTATACACAGCCGAATTAAATTTTTTAGTTAAGGTGCTTATATTATATTACAAAAGAAAATTATGCCTTATTAAGTATTCTACATGAAAACATTTTATAAGGTTATATGGCTTTTTATGATTGGCAGTTATATAACCTTTCAACAGTTTACACTGAGCCATTTAGCCTATCACCTAATATTGTAATACTGCACGTTTGTAAGGTCGCCTTTCATTGGATAATCCCACTGTACATTTTTGAAGAAATAACACTTTTCACTCTAAAATGATGTTTGCTGTATTAGGATAATAATTGGATCAAAAACCAACACAAATTAAGTATCAAAACATGTTTCGCTTTATTATGCTTCCTCAGTTGATACATATATAAAAATGACGTAAACGTACAAAACAAACGTCTACGTTAATAGACGTTACATTTGGCGCGTAAAAGGAACGTGATAATATTACAATAAGTATTACAATAAAACATGTGCATATGTATGTATAAATGTATTTTTTTTAAAACATAGCATATATAATTTTCGAAAGGAATTACATAAAATAACTGGATCAAAAGATACATATATTTATATAATAGTTTGCTGTATTATAAATTCGTTATAAATATTTCTGATAGGTAATATGACCGTATATAAACGGTAGTTTGCAATATAACCGTCGCCGCTTAGCGGCTACTTATAGTTAGTTATATTTCCAATTTACAGTTTGTATAGGGCCATATAACATGTCAAAAATCTTTATAACTTATAATATAAACAGCGATTTGAACTTCACATAATAATGAAGGGCAAGTAATTTATGTCAGAAATCAAACTTCATTTTCACAATTTCAGTTACACAGACCTAAAGATGCTCTGGCTATTTTAGATGAGTTAATAAAAACAGGTAAGACCACAGTTTAAATTGTTGATAGCTTTTACAATTTCTGGTTTAATAATGAACGATTTCTTTTTGCTTAATTTTGCATTCAATAATAGTTGGAAATTTAAGAGAACAGAATGTTCTTCTTAACATAAGGTAGATGTGCACTTAAGCCTTTATAATATGAACCTCATGAAAAAAAAAGATGTATGAAATTATAAATTGAATTAGATTTTCTTTGTATAATAAGTCGCTACTATCATAATAGTATTTAATTGTTCTTTATCGTTTTGATGTAAATAAAAATGACTGATATGTTAAATCTACTTTTTGTTATCATTTAAGTAATTAGAAATGTAGATTTTATCTTGGGTTCATTTAAACCGACTTCGATACTTATTCTTAAACTATCTTGTGAAACATATAAAACATGCATCTAAGCTAAGGAATCAGGTAAAGAATAAATAATTATAAATAGGATTTTATGATTTCAGTGGAACAAATAATGCCCCGAAAACATTTTTAACATAAATAAAAACGATTTACCTAAAGGAAATGATGTCTGCATTCCAAAGTAGAATTTCAATAAAAAGAAGAAAAACATATTTCTGATAAATAAAAGTAAATTCTTAAGAAATTTCAAAGTTTAAAATGCGTATCTTCAACAGTATAGTTGCCAAAGAAGAGAAAAGATATTGAAATATGAACTATATTTATAACTTAAAACAAACAGCATTACGTACTGTTGTAATCATGTATTCTTTCAAATTTAAACAGACATATATATCATATTAAGGATCAGTATACTCTTACGTAATCAAGGCAGGAAATGGGAACATCAATACTTAGCTTATAGAAAATTCATAATGCACAATGGTTTATGAAAATGTTTATATTAAAACACACAAAATGTGGTCGAATAGTCTACCAAGTTGTTTGTCGATATTAACGACAAAACAAAATATAGGATCTTAACTTATGGCTAGTCTGTGTATAATAGCAAAGAAACACTACATTAATAAACAGTAAATTAACAAATAACACCGTGTCATACCAGCTCCAGATAACCAGGTTGCAAGGAGAAACAGTAAATACATCATACAAAAGATGGACGAAGGCATGAGGGACATCGATGTTAATCATCAAGAGCCGAATAGCAAGAAAGATAAACTACTCCAAAAACACTGTAACAAAAATGACAGAGTAAGTTCCCTTTGATAAGAAATATCGACTTTAATTGATTCGTACAGAATTTCTTCTCAATGTAAGTAATAAGGGAAAGCGGTCCAAAAAAAAAAAAATCATCAACAACAAAAACAACAACAACTTTGGAAATGAATTTGTTATTTAACAAACAGTTTTGAGGATATACGTGGCTTCGGGTTCTTTTCCGAGTCCTTTACATCAAATTAAATTTGACAAGACTATATGGGTAACATTTCAAAAGAATCATCAATTCATACTCGAAAATACCTAGTGCTAATAGCTCATTCTTCATTTCTTTAGAATATCACTTTTATCAAATAACACTTATAAAACAGTATACTCTTATAATGATATAAATTGGACCGCCGAATCTATATCGTTTATATCCGGATATTGTTATACCCGAGAAAATAATGAAAACAAGAGTCGGAACTGCAGCAACAGCATCGTTATAAGCGATATATCGTTATAAGTGATGTAACATTATAAGCGATATATCGTTATAAGCGATATATCGTTATAAGTGATGTAACATTATAAGCGATATATCGTTATAAGCGGTATATCGTTATAAGCGATATCGTTATATGTGGAGTTTACGTTATACTGTACTGACTTAAAAAGTATGAGCAATATATACGACCGCAACACATCTACCATTTCACTTTATTTAGCATCTCATTATTTACAAAGATTGCTGTTTTACATTTTACCTTTGAAAAGATCAGAAAACTTAAACGTCATCAGTTTTGTACGTACACCGGCAGAAGAAACATGGGATATTTTGAAAGACCAAGCATCAAAACGGAGGTGTTGAGTAGAAAACCTTTGATTGTGTTATACAGAAATATGACAACCTCTAGTGAGCAAAAAGCAGTGGCACATTTAGGATACGAACAGGTAAATTAGTGAAAGACGGATATTTGGCACAATTTAACGGAAAGTCAATCTAACGGAAAGTCAATCTTCTAATAAAGATCATTTGTCAGTTGGTTTCAATAGCGATATGTTTTAATTCAAGTAAACAAACACTACTTTTTAAGTTAGAGTAGATGTATTGTAAGTTCCTTGTAATTTATTATTATTATTATTATTATTATTATTATTATTATTATTATTTTAAATTTAAATTTTAATTTTTTTTGCTGCTTTTCTAAGCTTATATCAAATTTGTCTGCAATAGAAATAAATCTTACCCAGCCGAATTTATGTACCTGCTTTAAATTTGAATATTTCCTTTTTTTAATTCTAAAGATTTCAATTTCATACTGATCAATTTGAAAAAAAAAGACAGCATAAAACCATGCTCACATTACATAGATTTGAGGACAGAATCACCTGTATCAATACTGTTGGATTAAACAAATCTTTATTGATGCAAGATGTCTCGAACATACAACAAATTTATTTAATTTTCACGTAATTTATATAATGAGATCCGCCATATTGTTTTTGGTTACGTGACAAAAGTGAACTATAAAGAGGTATTACGAAAACTGCTTTGGATTATTACGAGAAGTACTACCCGGATTAGGGTTTTTTAACATTTATGTTTTACTTCATATTGTTTTTTTTTTCATTTGTGTTCATACAATCTATACTTTGTTACTGGTTTAATATGAAAGTAGGCAAAGCATATTGAACGAAGAAGTGAAATGTACCCGCTGAAAATCAAGGGCTTGGTAAAAATATCTAGAATCGCACACGGCTCGTTCATTACAGTAATAACTCTAAAGTTACAGTTGAAGTTAAACGTGTTGACAACATGTTGACAACATAACAATTGCCCTATTCATCCAGAAGTTTGAGTTGTACCTTGTACCTAGTTGTACTCTTGTTTGAGAATTCTGACATTTTTTATTTTGCTAGGTTTTTTTATCAAGTCAAAAATTAAAATACAAGTCTTTACCTTAGAGTTATAATGTTACATTGAAATTTCTTTATAGTTTTCTGCATTTAATGCACAATTTGTTAGTAAGTCATTTATCTTTTCTTTCCTTACAGATGAGAGCTGTGATGTACAAAAACCGTTATACACACCCGCAAGGAATGGATGGGTAGAACGCTAATATATTATATGAATATTTGTATTTATAGTTGAAGAGAACAAGCTTTAAGTATTCTTAAACCCAACGCACCAGTGATATATTATGAACTTTTTTCTACTTTGAACGTAATCAAGTACTACTACATTTATCAAATAAAATGAAATAAGGTGTTCATATTAAAAATATTCAATATTTAATTCAGAAAATGATTATATTTGTCCGTCAGTCTTTTTAGTCATATACAAACGTTATGAAAGCCAAGTACGTGATACGTGTGTTTTGCTGCGTCTATCTAACTGACAGTCTATATTGTAAAACATGTTCTTTTAACTTATTGCATAAGGAAAGACCCGTTTATTTTTGGCAATAAAATATGTTTAAATCATATTCATATACAGATTAGATGTTCAAGATAATACAAACTGGCAGTGGATACCAAATCTGCAAAAGACACTGGAGAACATTGATTTAACAGAAAGGGAGCCATTGAAATCTAGATTTATTGTGAAGAACATTGGATTATACGGAATGTCCAACTCGGGTTTGGTATGAACACCACCTTTATTGACTTAATTTTACTATTGCTTATTATCCTTATACTTTCAGAATTGAAGAAATTAACTGAATTGATATAACCCAAATTTTACTTGTACCAGAGAATCTTTCGGAATTCAGAAAAATAGAAGGTCCGTTATTCAAAGTTATTAATTACATAGAAATGATTAGAAGAAATTTCAGGACCCTTCAAAATGTGAGGATTTCAGACCGTGCTGGTTTTTAGGATTTCCGGAAATCGGAAATTACTGGCTACTTTTAGTTACATAATCTTTATAACGAATTTATAATACTGAAAACTTTAATTATAGAAACAATAATGCACAAATCGACTGCAGCCTCGAATATACATTATATACACGTCACGACCTTCCAATGAAAAACGTGGTTACAAATGTGCAGAATTATATAAATCAAAATCAAAATAAAATGTAAAGTATTTTTTTATTTATATGTTTACAATGGTACTATAATATATGTATTTCACTGAATAAGTATTATCACATGGCGTTGCTATGTCCAAACAGTGTATTACGGCATAAATGGCATTATTCTCGCAACAATAAGTGTATGTTTTGTTTGTAGGTCAAATCGGACCTGACAAGACTTGGTACATTTGTAGTATTCGTAAGTATAAAAATAGTTCATACTTTATAAGTATAAAATCGATAAATATTTGATGCAGACAGTACATAAATATTGAAATCATTTCTTAAAATTAAGAAAAAAAAACCCAACCAAACAAACAAACTGTAACAATTTTAAACATTTATTTTTTTAAGACGAAAACTAACTTAAAAGAAAATTCTTGCATGTTTTGAAGCTTACTTTATCTAGCAAATCCGTATGAACATTAAGTGGTATTTTTTAGATTTCAAAGTCAATTTGAATATCCCGATATCCCATTTTTTAAAGACATGTTGCATACTCAGCTTAGTCAGTGTTTTGGACGCCGTATGAACACATCTGAAGATGTTTCTAAATTCAAAATTTCACCATTACCATGATAAAATGTTGAATTCTGTATAAGTCGGTGCTGGGGGGGGGGCGTAAACGGTAATATGCTGCTTCAATTACCGTCAATGAACAGGCTCAATCGAACCGAGCCTGCAACATTTTCAATTTTGTCGTTTTGTGCGTTCTTTAGGGTTCTTTTTCTCTCTCTATTTGAAAGAAAGTTATGTTAAATGAATATATAATATGAAGCAAGTTTCCTGGCTTCATTTGGTTTATTAACGTCATATCTAACGTCATATGACGTGAAAGCATTTTTTATGCTGTGCAAATATATATGTAAGAATGCACTTGATTACCCTATCTGTTTGATAGGGGAATAGTTTGAAGCGTGTAAAATATATATTTATTACGATTTCAAAAGTATGCGTGCTGCATTATCCCAACGTTTTATTCCAGTTAACAGAGCCGCAACATGGCGGGGGCGATGTAGTTTTTCCATCTCTTAACATCAACGTTGCACCAGAAAAGGTATTGTTTACATCTTGTTATCAAATGTCGTAACAATAAATATAGTCCATTGCCAGGCTTGTTAACAACAGTTGTTGAATTGATTCTAGTATAACTAATTTATACTTATATTCATTTACTTTAGTTTGGTTGTGTAGGAAGCTATAAGCTAATTGACACACTCTCGAATACTTTCCTGGAACCAACCAGTTTATATTAAAATTCATGTATTTACAAATTTTGTTTATACTTATTCGTTATAGTTCGATTGTGTTGGAAGCAATAAACTTTATGAAACACTTTTGAATGCGTTACTGGAAGCAACCAGTACTAAGCAATGAGTCTAAAGTTTCTTGATCTAGAACACAACGGCTTATACCTGACACGGTTTGAAACCATGTAGCCAGCAATTCTTAGATAAAGTGTCCGACGTGTTAACCACTCGTCCATGCCGCCACATGACTAATTATCTAAATTGGGCAGCATTGTATATAGTCCATGATGTATGCTATTACTTAAAAATGCTTGCATTTTAGTAACAGTGAATTTATCAAGTTATTCTACGATACAGAACCGTCCTCTTCAATATGTAACAGGTCGATTTTGACGTCATTTCCAATGAAATTTGTACCGTTGAAATAATGATAACTATGTGATAAATAAGTTTAGAGCTTTAAGTTTCATTAAAAAAACTGTATCATGAATTATCTTATTTCAGGGTACTGTTTTATTTTATGAAAGAAAGGTTCACAAGCAAGCAAATGTATGCCCGGTTATTGCCGACACACAGTGGGGTAAGTTTGTTTAACTTTTGTTGTTGTTTTTTTCCCCACACGCTGAAGAAATAATCGTGTGTCACATAAAATGTTTATATCATATGTAATGCGAATTTAATATGGAAAACATCCAATACTTGGTAACGATTACTTTCGTAGGTTAGATATATTTGATATGATATTTTTATAGTTTTGATACATACGAGCAAAAGAATATATCAGAATCATAATGTGGGTTTTACATAAAATGTGAAATAGAATTGCAAGTTTGGAGTAAAATGTGTAAATATAGAAAAATCATTCATTCAAAACAAGTAACTTTTTGAAACTATCTTATGATATAGCATTGCACCATTTCATTTCAATTCCATTTATTAAAAAAGTACCGTTACCCCTCTTTTTCTATTTCATAAAGTCTCAGCTACTTCTCATTTGCTGATAAGACAAAAAGCTCAGGCCTCATGATCACTAAGATTTAAGGATCAGGATCAAATTTAAAAACTCATATAATTATTCTCCATTGTTTTCACTATAGATTAAATATTTATTAATAACTTGATAAAATTGGACTTGAAATAGAATGTTAAAGAAATATTAGGGAACATATAGTTATGTTACAAAATATGGACATTTTAGAGTTGATCCAAATATAATATCGAACCTCATCCTAAAATTGATTCTGATTTTAATCCAATTATTTTTTTTATTTTTTTTTGTTATTAGCCTATTTTATTCCCAAAATATGGTTGATTCTTTGCAAATCAGCATTCTTTAACATTTCGTTCAAATTTCTTGCGAAATATTATCAATTTTAGTTTTTATAAAACAATGAATATGAAAAGATCATTTGATCCTGATCTTTTCTTTGTGAACACGTGACTTGTGTGCGTTGTTTAGACATAAAATAAGTGAATTATTTTATTTGATTTATTATTTTTCAAAACATTGTTCTTTTTCAGTTGGTATATACCCGTTAGAAGACCAGTTTTACAGTAATTTTTGTTACAAAGACAATCTTCGTAGACCTTCGAGGAAGTGAGCTACCAGCATCAATTCTAAATATATTTTCACATTTGCTCTATCATGCATTCGTATAATTTCTTCAAGTATTGCTGTTTACTAGTTAAAATGTCGAACATTTAACATTTTGCCAATTCCTATGTTAGACAAAATGTGTTTATACAGGTTTTAAATGCATAATATTAAAGTACGATATAATTTGTATAATGCAACTTTTATAATCATATGGTTATAGGTCATATATCTCATAACAATAGCAAAATAATTTTGCATAATTTACAACAAAACAATGTTTTTTATATGCCGATGTCTTCTTGCTTCAAACTTTTCCGAAATGCAAAGGTATACAAATCATATTGTAGTCAAAAAAAATTGTCTAATCCGAATTGTTTGTATGTTTGTATTCGTATAAAACAAAATTAAAAAGAATACAACAGAAGCTTCAGAAATGGATGTTGAATTATAAAATGTATCTCAGCGGATGTTTGATTTTCTTCTAAAGTTATGTTACATAAACACTGATAAATAATACTGTTTGCGTATAAATGAATACATTTGTTCATGTGTGCGATATATGTATTAACCTGTTTATTATTAATTGAAACATTTTGTTTTTTGGCTAGCTAATCGTTTTGTCATGGTTTGTTATCGGATGAAAAGCTTATCCTTTTATGTGAGCTTAAACCTGAGCATTGTAATTTCTACGCGTCAGCAAGAGATTTAAAAACAGCTGACATTTGGTATCTCGACTTTCAGGGGACCGGGTATGTTACTTCGAAATAAACGGAATTTGAGTTACTAGGAGTTTCTGCTGAATGAATGTTTTATTTTTGGTTCCATCTACATTTTGTAAAGTGAATTGTCTTCATTTAAAGGTAACAACTGTTAATTATTTTGATGTTCGTCTTAATCTTGTATTTTCGTACAAAGTAGGCTGTATTTTGTCCGGAAAAGAATGTTTAACGTGTTTTGATATTTTATGATATCAATGCAAAATAATAGTATTTTAAAAAATAAATATATTGAAACAGTTGGTGTTTGCATTATTCTAAGATTTTTTCTAATACATATACGTGTCTTTTATATTGAATGTCGTCATAAGCTGACTGCATTCACGTTTTATTGACTGATATATAAATGTCATGTCCAAATTAATTGCTTTTCAATCTTGCATTTCATATACAAATATGGAAACTTGTCTAGTCTAGATATTTTTCCTGCTTTATAACCCTAAACAGACCTCCCGTGTTTCTACTAAGACTGACCGCTAATGTTTTTACTCAATCTGACCGCTAATGTGTTCTACTCTCAGACTGACCACACATGCCTTGGTTATGAGACTGACCACACATGCCTTGGTTATGCTTCATAGTCTGTTTAACAGATGTTACATGAGAGGAAGTGTTCCCTCCGCTTGGTCAAAATGTATCATTACACCGATTCCCAAGTCTTCTACATTAGATGCCCTTGATCCTCTGTCCTATAGGGGAATAACACTGGTTCCTTTCATGTATAAAATCTACTGTAGTATTTTAAATAACCGTTTGACTAATTGTGTGAAGATAATTTAACTCTATTTATGATGAACAAAATGTTGTTTTTTTTTTTGGTAAAGAAAAAAGTACAGTAGATCGGATACAATCACATACCACTATTTTTGAAACTCGTAAATTAAAAAGGCTTCCTACTTTTGCATCATTTAATGATTTTAAAAAGGCATACGATATGTTAGATAGAAATTGTTTATGTGAAAAGTTGCGACATTTGGGACTTGGGGGTAGACTTGTTCATGCCATTATACAATTGTATAAGGATGTTAAATGTTGTGTACGTGTAAATGGTTTTGATACCCACTGGTTTGATATAAAGTGTGGATTAAAACAGGGCTGACCCCTGTCTCCAATGCTTTTCATTTTGTATATAAATGATTAAGAATCTTTGATGAATAGCTTAGATAAAGGTAATGACAAAATAAGTATTCTTTTGTATGCAGACGATGTTGTTCTCTTAGCCGAAAATGCTGATGATTTGCAATTTATGTTAGATCATTTTTTTTTCAAATTAGTGCTTCAATAATATGATGATTGTGAATTGTGAAAAGTCAAATATAATACACTTTCGAATCAATAGTATGCAACGATCTGATCATGTTTTTTAGAATAAACTCAAATGTATTAGAATATTTCCATAGTTGTAAATATCTTGATATCGTTTTAAATGAATTTTTAGATTTTCAATAAATTGCATTTTAAATTTAGCGTCCCTAAAAGTCCTAAAAAATCCTGTTTTTTCAGTTTGGCTAAAATTCCTAAAAAAAAATGAAAAATTAAAGGGAATTCATTTTTTCACTGAAATTTATCTTTTGTTATAACATATCCCGAAACAACCATTTTTCAATCACAACCTAATTTTTAACACAGTCAGTGGCGCTGATGTCATGTCTGACTTCACTTAATTGCATATAGTCACAAGTTGTATTAACTTCAACTCATGCAGAGATGCAATACTTTATTAATTGCCAAATGTTATCAGAAAAACAATAAGAAACTGTTGTTTTAAAATTGTCTGACTTTGACTATATCAAAATAGTCACTTGTTTAAAATAGAGATAAAAAATTCCCAAGCAAATTATACTTTTTATTTACCATTTACCTCAGTCTTAGGACTGGTATATTTAAAGCAACTATTTATGATGTACCACTAAATTTCATCAGACTTTATGTAGGGGACCTTTTTAATAAAATCTTAATTTGTAATCAAGTAATTTTCAAGTGATGACTGTAGAATATATCTTATGTAAGTGATACCAGCTGGCAGATCTAGACAAGTTTTCATACTTGGTAATATTATAAAGTGGGTTAGGTAAACTGGCTGTCATGATCGGAAATTTTCACCATTTTGCACACCAATTAGCGTACTAAGAAGTGACACATTCGGCTTCCCTTTTTGTACACATTTACATTAGTCATACCAATGCAATGTACTGTAAATATGTTATTACATTTAGTGTATTTTTTTTAAATCTGGAAAAAAACTTTTGAAAATCATTGAATAGATTGACTCTGTTGTGAAATTTTCTACAATTTTTAGTAGCCCTGATTTATTTTTAACAAATTCTTAAGTGGTGAATACCCTGCTGTTTGAATTTAGGTCAAAATATCCATGGGAATGACCTGAGTGGGTCGTTTTATTGTTTTTAAGAAAGATCAAGACTTGTTCAAAATGTACCAACCTTAAAATGAATAAATGTTGATAAAATTTTTATGCATTTATAGCTCGAATAAATTTAAAGCATAATTTCTCATTCCATTTACTATTGGCAATTAACAGCTTAAACTAATTGAATATTGGTTGTTTCGGGATACTCATAACTTTAAAAATGTTTTCATTCTAGTTATGTTTTAATGTAGTTAAGTTTTTTTAGCTCTTATTCATAGTAGGTAGTTAAAGGCAGTTGACCAGTGAATCTATTTATTCACGGGTAACTATGGAACACTGGTTGACACCTTTGTTATAACTGAACTAGAGCATTATTTGTGAGTTACTTACTTTTGTGTCAAATATGCAAAGTTGAATCAATATCATGGTCTTTTGGGCTATAATTTAGTTATGAAATTCCAAATTTTAGCCCTAAAATTTCTTTTACTTACCCTAAAATTCCTAATTTTAGCCCTAAAATTTCTTAAAAATGGCCCCTTAAATTTGTCCTAATTTTTTGTCAGAGGGTGCTGGACAGCCTGTGAAATTGGTGAAAGATATTGATAGTGAATACTTAATGAATGAACATATTGGGAATGCAAAGCCTGCAATATCCTTGATTGAGTCCAAATTGTGTGAGTTATAAAAAGAAAATCGAAATATATGTAAGGTAGGGATCAGTCCAATAGAGGAAATTGTGGTAACAAACTCACAACATAATTATAGATTGTTAAGTCAGATTTTGAAACAGAAAAATACCTTTTTAAGAATATACCCTTTTAATATAGATCTGCACATACTAAATTTAGATGTGGTGTAAACCTTCTAGGATTAGAGACTGGAAGATGTGAACAGTTACCTTTAGACAGAAGATGCTGTTTTAACTGCGAAAGTGCTGTTAAGGATGAAAAGCCTTTATATGATGAAGTCAAGGCTGTTATAGTTTCAGCTTTAAATGATAATTATATCAGATGTAATGTATGATAATATGTCAGACAATGATAAATCAAGTTTGACTCAAAGTAATAAAAAATCAATGTATGTTGCTGCCAAAACCTGTTATATTATTTCAAAAGATAGGAAAATATTTCTATATTCTAGGTCATAGCCGCTAAGCTGTTAAACTAATTTTAAATAATTAGTTTTACTAATTCTATTTAAGCAGTTTTACTAATTCTATATAAGCATTTTACTAATTTTATTTCTTTTAACAAATCATATTTTAGGTATATACATTTTCATATATATATGATAGATGTTGAGTGTCACAGAAAATTAAATTTTCATTCTATAATAATACAGGATTTATTTTCAAATTGTGGTATAAAAATTATAATATTTCAATTGTGGCTATCGTTGCTCATGAAATATCTATTTTCATACCAATTAATGAAAATAAGTGTTGTATTTATAGAAAAAACTTGTATATCCTCTATTTGTAAACAAATGAATAAAAGAATACATACATACATACATACACACACACACACACACACACACACGCGCGCACGCACGCACGCACGCGCGCGCGCACGCACGCGCGCGCATGCACGCAGGCAGGCAGGCAGGCACGCACGCACGCACACACATACATATATTGGTGAATGAATGGGTGAAATGAATAAATAAATAGATAAATATATAAATAAATAAAATAAATAGATAAATACATTAATACATAAATAAATTAATACATAAATAAATAAATAAATAGAAAATACATAAATACATATTAAATACAATAAATAATAATAATAGACAAAATCAATGAAACGATTACCCTTCTTTCTTATATCTCAATTTTTGAAGAAACAATGTTCATTTCGGCTTATTGTCTTACGAAAGGTTTATCTTGAAGGAGAGATAAATGGTAGATCAATCGGGCCAGTAAGAATGTCTAGATCCTGCGGCTAATTCTTCAATTCCATCTACGATCTGTAAACAACATAATAATATCAAAATATTCTGAAAGGTGAATGTTTAAAAAACTACTTGAACATGTTTATTTGTATTTATAGACAGCTGCCAAAAGCTGATTTGAGGGGAAATAGTCTGTTCATAGACAAATTAGAAACCTGTTTTGTTTTGCGGTTCATTGACGTAGGAAAATAATAATGAAAAAATAACACAATCAGTTAGTAATTTTTTTCCTAAGCATCTGAAATATGAGAAGCTCGTGTGTAATTTGTTTTTAGCAAATAAAATTGATTTTTGAAACAGCAATTATCAAAAAAGAAAATAGAATAAAATATAATAATAATACTGATGGTGACAATTATAGTAATAATAATAATAATAATAAAAATAATAATGATGGTAATAATAATAATAATAATAAATATAAGAAAAATAGAAAAAATAAATAATTAAAATGAAGTAAAAAATAGAAATAAAATGAAAAAATGGTACGGTAAGGTTTTTTAAGCATATTTTTTTTATTTGTTAATGTGCAAAATTTACAGTTTGTTCAATGGAACTACTTTAATGAACATTATGCATTTGATTATAATCGTTCTGTTCTGTTCTGTTATTAATCAATGCTTATTCAACAAACATAACATAATATTAAAGTAGTAACAAGAGAACGAAATTTTGCAAACATGCCGTAATGAACGATGACTTTGATTACAAATTATTTATATTTTATTAGTAATAAAAATAGATTTTAAATACTAGTAGATATGTCTGATGCAAACCATTTTTTTTAACTCGACTGCACAAGTTTATAAATAAGGCTCATCTGTAAACATATAAATTCATAAGTATAAAACACGCACGGAGGAATACATCGACGTGATTTTAATCAGAACAAGCCTTTA